CCTGGGCAGAGCCACTGCTAAGACCTTCATATACCATGACCTGTTTGTCTCTCATGGCTTGGACTTTCTTTTTATGACTGAAACTTGGCTACCCACTGATGATCTAGCTGCTTTTGTGGAACTGCTTCTATTCAACTCAATCAACTCTGTCCTGCATCCCACCACTACAGCCATATCTAAGACTGCCTCACACACTTGTGAGGATTTTCAAAGGTTCTTTACTGAAAAAATTGATAATATCAGATCACATATCTGGCTCCCATCCCAAGACCCTTCTGAACCACCTACATGTTCTTCCTTTCTCTCTGAATTTAAACCAGTCTCATTATCCTATCTTACTGATATAATAATGCACATCAAACCAACTACTTGCCCCTTGGATGTGTTACCGACACCATTTCTCAGAGATGTGCTTAAGACAGTCAGCCCTAACATCCTCGCTATTGTTAATAGCAGCATCTCAAATAGAACTGTTCCTTCAAATGGGACTGTTCCTGATTCTTTTAAACAAGCTGTTGTCCAGCTGCTTCTAAAAAAAACCTGGTTTGGATACGTCAGTTCTTAGCAATTGTAGACCAATTTCTAAGCTGCCGTTTTTGTCTAAGGTTCTCGAGAAAGTTGTCCTCCACCAATTATCCTCATTCTTAGACACACATAGTATTCTGGATAAATATCAGTCTAGTTTCAGAGCCTTCCACAGCACAGAGTCTGCTGAACTGAAGGTATTCAATGATGTGCTTTTAGCTGCTGACTCTGGAAAATGTACAGTTTCAATTCTTCTAGACCTGAGTGCAGCATTTGGCACTGTTGACCACACAATCCTATTAACCTATCTAAAGACGTGTCGGCATTCAAGACTCTGCTCTAACATGGTTTGGCTCTTACTTAGAGAGCAGAACATGCTCTGTGAGGCTACACTCGCTTGTGGAATACCTCAGGGCTCTATTCTGGGCCCTGTCTTATTCTCCTTATACATGCTCCCATAAATAATAATAATAATAATAATAATAATAATAATAATAATAATAACAAACTTTATTTATAAAGCACACTTAAAAACCAAGGGTATGCCAAGGTGCTTAACAAATAACATAGAGAATAAAAGGAAGATAACAGAAATAGGACCAAAGCAAGTACTAGGTATGCAAGCAGATAGCTGTCACTGATACATAGAAAAGCAACAGATACAGAACAAACAAGGAATTAAATGAGCATAAAAGTGCATAATATAAAATCATAAAAGAAATGTTAACTAGAGGGAAAGGCGAGATTGAATAAGTGGGTTTTTAGTCGTGATTTAAACAGTGCTACAGAATCAGATGCGCGGATATCAAGAGGAAGGATATTCCACAGTACCGGGGCAGCCAGAGTATACGCACGGTCACCCCGGGACTTCAGCCGAGATCTGGGTTGGGTCAGAAGTAGTTGAGTGGCAGATCAGTAAGTAAGTAAGTAATAAGTGTTCTAGCAGAAGTATGTGGCTTGAGAAGTTTACTAAGATAACTCGGCGCTAATTTATTAATAGTTTTGAATGTAAGGAGTAATATTTTAAATTGAATACGATAATTTATGGGCAGCCAGTGCAAGCTAGCTAGAACAGGAGTAATAGGGCAAACTTTCCTGGTACCAGTCAAGAGGCGGGCTGCTGCATTTTGGACTGTTTGCAGTCTAAGAAGAAAAGAAGAGGAAAGACCGTAGTACAAGGAGTTACAATAATCCAACCTGGAGGTCACAAAAGCGTGAATAAGCTTCTCCAGGTCCTCATGTGGAACATAATGCCTAGCCTTAGAGATGAGGCGCAGTTGGTGGAAGCTAGATCTCACTACAGCAGACACTTGCTTATTGAGTTTGAGTGAGCTATCCAGCAGTACACCCAAGTTACTGACATAGTCACAGAAAGAGCTAGCAAAGGAACCCAGGGCAGCATAAAGTTGGGCACGAGGGATTTTACTGTTGAACAATCTCAGTCTTCTTTTCGTTTAAAACGAGAGAATTACTCAGGAACCATTCTTTGACCTCCCGCATGCATTCTTGAAAGTAGTGCAGGGACGCAGCAAGGTCGTCAGTAAGTTCAAAATAGATCTGTATGTCATCGGCATAACAGTGGAAGGCAATATTGTATTTTTCAAAGATTGCGCCTAGAGGGAGCAAATACAATAAGAAAAGAATAGGGCCTAAAACTGATCCTTGAGGTACACCGCAACAGACTGGTGCAGAGGAAGAGGAGAAGGTGCCCAAGTTAACCGAAAAAGACCTGTCAGCGAGGTATGATTTAAACCAGTCGAGGGCAGTGCCTCTAATACCCACAGTGTGCTCAAGTCTTAATAATAAGATGTTATGGTCCACCATATCAAAGGCCGAAGAGAGGTCCAGTAAAACTAGGACCATAGAGCGTCCAGTATCAGTAATTACAAGAATATCATTAAGAACTCTAACCTCTAAGCAATGGCTTAAAAGCAGATTGAAATTTCTCAGCAATATTGTTCGTGTCCAAGTACGCCTGGAGCTGGGAGAGTCTCTCCAGGATCTTGGACAAGAATGAAAGCTTAGAGATCGGTCTGTAGTTTGAAAGGTCATAACAGTCAGAGTTTCTTATGACACTAAACTACGACAAAACTGAGATTATAATTTTCGGTACGCAAGACTCTATTAGTCTCATAAGAAATGACTTGGGCCCACTATCAGCTAATGTACACCCCCATGTAAAAAAGCTTGGTTTCATTTTCAATTCTACCCTCAAGCTGGACAAACAAATAAATTCAGTTGTTCGTGGCAGTTTTTTCCAACTTGGGAGCATTTCCAAACTCAAAAATATCTTTCATCTGAAGGTCTGGAAATTGTTATTCATGCCTTCATATCATCACATCTTGACTACTGTAACTCTCTCGATTTACACGTCTGTCACTCAAGCCTGTCCCGCCTGCAACCAAAATGCAGCAGTACCAGAAAGAGAGTATTACTCCGATACTCGCATCTTTACATTGGCTGCAAGTTAAATATGGAGTTGACTCATGGATTTATTATTTGTTTTTAAAGCCCTCCATGGCTTGGCTCCAGGTACAATCTCCTTAGCCTGCACCTACCCACTCAAACTCTGCGTTCCTCCAGTCAGATGCTTTTATTGGTTCCACGCTCCCAGTTCAAATCTAGAGGTGACAGGGCTTTCTCCATTGCCACTTCAAGACTCTGGAACAGTCTTCCCTCTTTCATAAACTCCTCTTCCTCTTTGGAAGTCATCAAATCAAATTTGAAGACCTACCGATTTTCAAAGGCTTTCGGATCTCTTTGACACCACTTTTATTCTGTTTTAGCTATTCTGGTCTTTTATCTCATTGGATGATGTATGCATGTATATATGTATACACGTATTTTATGTACACGTATGTGTGCTTGTGTGTGAATGTGTACACTTTCGTATATGTATCTGTATATGTGCATGTACATCTATATTTCTACAAACAGGTGTATATAAGAGTCTGCTTTGTGTGTCTATATATATACGGATGTCTGACGGTGTTTTTACAATGTTTCTTATCTATTTTAATTCTTTTTTATTTGATTTTATTATCTCTCTGTTCAGCACTTTGGCCGACACTTGATGCCTTTTAAATGCCTCTTCTTCTCTCACTCTCTTCCCCTCCCTCTCCTGCTGCTACTTCAATCACGAAACTGATCAATGACTTTTCTGTCGCAAGTCCCGTCTCTCTTGTTTGTTTATCGCCCACTTTGCACCAGAAAGAGGAAAACAGCGTGTTTAAGCTGTTGTTAGAATTTATTTAATATCACTTTCTAGTATCAGGTGATGTTTGCTGGAGCCACAGCTGTAAAGCTGCTGGTCATGATATCGGTTTGGATATCTGGTGAGAGGGAAACATGAAGATGAAATCAGGAGATGTCCTTACTGAATCATCAGAGCTGAACAGGTGATGGAGAAACAGGTTTACCTTTTAGGTGACATGAATGAGTTAAAGAGAAGTTATGAACTGTTTCTGAGAGACAAATAACACCAGGAGCATTTTTTACATAGCTGACAGCTGGTAACTGTGCAGGGGCGGGTCTAGCAAAGTGTTGCCAGGGGGCCAGGCAGGGCATTAACAGGAAAAGGGGGGCACAGAGAAATACTTTTCTTTCTTATTCTCATTTAAAATGTCTAGCTTTTGATAAATAATTATCTGAATCTTACAAATGGTAAATGGCCTGCATTTGTATAGCGCTTTTCTAGTCCTTAAGGACCCTAAAGCGCTTTACACTACATTCAGTCATTCACCCATTCACACTCACATTCACACACTGGCAAGCTACATTGTAGCCACAGCTGCCCTGGGGCGCACTGACAGAGGCGAGGTTGCCAGACACAGGCGCCACCGGGCCCTCTGACCACCACCAGTAGGCAAACATGGGGTTAGTATCTTGCCCAAGGATATTTGGCATGCAGCCAGGAGGCAGCCTGGGATCGAACCACCAACCTTCTGATTAGTGGCTGACCTGCTCTGCCACCTGAGCTACAGCCACCACAGCTACAACCAAAGTGGTCATCTGATGTAAAATGTAATCATACATATATACCAACATAACAGTGTACATCACTGTCACAACAGCATTTGTTTCCATTCAAAGGCTTTCTGGCTTTTCCTATAATACCTGGTGGGCCGGTCTCTAGTCAAAATGCCCGGGCCGATTTTTTGTCCCAGTCCAGCCCTGGGCAGAGCATTAAAAAACAAAAAACAATACAACAAACGTGTGGGAAATCTGTTATGGTTCATGTGTCTGAAAGAAAAAATATCAGCCACTACATCAGAATAACAGATTTTAAAATCACCAAATATAAGGACTGGTTATCGGCCTTAAAAAAATCGCACATCATTCAGTCTCTAATTTAAAACTCCATTATTTTAAATATACTCATTAATTAACCCTGGTTTAACCATTTAACCCTAGAGTGGGTTTAGCTGGTTAAAATATAGAACAAATGATAAAAATGGTCATTAATTTTAAAAAAAAAAGATGCACAAAAAAGATTTTATTTGACATTTTTCAATCCAGTGCAACCTCCAGAATGCATCTTCTTGGTACATCACGCCTCACATGATATGTTGAAACAAGGCCACTGAGGCAAGCAACTGTTCCTACTTAAGGCACTGCATCAGGAGGCCCTTCATTCTAAAACAATAATCTAATGTAGCCTCATGCCTTATTAGTTTTCCCTCTGGATATCAATCTCAAATTCACCCCTCGAGACTTTGCTATGCTGAATCTGTATCACGGGGTCGTAAGCAAAAGGTTGTTCTGTGTACAGCAGATTGATCTATGAGGCAAAGCACACCAAACACAAATCAGTCTGGTCTTGACCAGCTCTGCCCTTCTTCCTCCACTCATACATGTCATACATGAGAGGATTGTCAGTACATGTCAATGTAAAGTAACAAGTGATTACTATCAGTTATTCTCTCCTTCATATATCTAAACAACATCCTTTACCTTTTCCATTTATATAACACAAACCATCCCCTGCTTCTAACCCTACATACGTCTATGTACTGCCTGAATTCTTTTTTTTTTTAAAAAAAGTAAAAATCTAGCCTTAATACAGACCACATATCTGATCTGATCACACCAAAAGCACTTCAGGTAAAAGGCTCTACTCTTGGGTTTGAAATGGGAGGATTGTTTCTTCAGAGAGCGGTGTCTTCAGAGCCAAAAAGCTTGGTGGCGATGGCCTGGTAGTCGGCCACTGGTGCTTTTCCACCGAAGTCTGAAGGCAGGATGTCTGCATCGAATTCTTTGAGGTAGTTGTCCAATTCATCACCATGAACAAAGACCTGAGGGAAGTTAGAATCAGCATTTAAAGATGTAGCTTAGATTTAAAACCAAAAAAAATATAGCTGCTATCAGCTGTGTCCCTTATCTTTACCCTCTCCAGCAGCTTGCTCTTCATGAAGGGTTTAACCACGTTGTAGGTAGTGGTGAAGTACCAAGGCTGGTGAATAACGTGAACTGCCTTGAAACGGGCTGGGAACGAGTCCTGGAAAAAAAACACAAAAGAGCCAAAAACTATAGTTTGAGGCTCCACATCAGCTTTCATTCTGAGTCTGTTTGGGCCTGCAGTAGGGGTGGGCGATATAAATGGTATACAGTAGAAACTATATGAATTTGGTCAATGGTAGAGATTTTGACTAGACGCTCTACCATGATGGCGCATGTTGATGGAGTCATCAAGCTGCGCCTGTTTTGGTTGAAAGCATTGCAGCGGCTGCAAGCAATATCATCTGCAAATTATGCCGGGCGACAGTAATAGTGAAGAGACAAATCACCTTTTGGAATATGAGGAAAGCCAAAAACTGCGCTTCCACCACGTCCGTACCATTGAGTTATTAATGCTGAATTCTCTTGCTGCTGCTCTGTTCCCATCTGATTATGTCAGCTGTTCTCCTGACTGAAGTTTGGTCCGTTTACAGCATCCTGCCATGCGATTGCATTTGTCCCTAGTCATCGGGAACCCTCGCATTAACTTTTATTGAGTGGAAAAAAGTTAGCATTCATCCTCCAGCTTCACTGTGTTTATGTTATGCTAACATAGCTGTGTTGCTAGCAATCACATAACACTTCATTATATACCAGCTAGTCCAACTTCAGCAACCCTACAAACGTCACTGCTGTTTAGTTTTCTGTCTTCATTTATGTTGGAAGTGATAGCAGAGCTGTACGTTTTAAGTCTTTCAGAAATCTCTCAGTCAAAACATGCTATATCATGTTTAGCGAGCTGACTTGCTGCTAACTTCTAACTCTGTTAAATTTAATAAATTCTGTTTTCATGGATGCCTGGATGTTAAACTTAATTGTTACACCTGGTAAAGCACCAACGCTGATCATTTTATTAAAGATGAAAGAATTTAGACAGTTTTTAACTCTCAGTGATGCTGCTGTGTTCCTTTGACTTTGGGACCTGAAGCAGATGTCGTTTTGAACCCAGATTATTCTGGGAATTATTCCAGATTATAAGGCACACTGTCGATTTTTGAGAAAATTAAAGGATTTTAAATGTGCCTTATAGTGCGGAAAATATGGTATACAGAAGAAGAGAATATATCGTAATATATATCATTACGGCACATGCTTCAAATTAATAATAATAATAATAATAATGATAATAATAATTATAATAACTTTATTTATAAAGCACTTTCTCACAAAGTGCTGTGCAGCTATTTGAAACTAAAAAGATGAATAAATAAAAGCAATAAATAGCAGTACAAGTAAAAACTCAATACAAGTTAAAAATAGTAAAAATATAAAAACTAAAAGCCATAGAATTAAGACATGTAAGATAGGGTGAACAAATGTGTCTTCAGCTTAGTTTAAAAAACCTCCACAGAGCATGCCTACCTAATATCTTGAGGGAGGTTGTTCCACAAGAATGGGGCACGAAAAGAAAAAGCACGCTCTCCAACTGTCTTTTTTCTGGCTCTAGGAACCTTTAGAAGGCCTGAGATCGTAGAGCATGGGATCGAACATAAAGGTGTAAAAGGTCGGAGAGGTATGAAGGTGCCAATCCATTTAAAGCCTTGTAGGTGAGCAGCAGGATCTTAAAATCTGCTCGAACCTGACAAGGTAGCCAGTGAAGAGCTCTCAGTACAGATGTGCTCAAATTTCCCAGTTCTTGTTAAAATACGAGCAGCTGCATTTTGCACCATCTGTAGACCTCTGAAACTTTTCTTTGGAAGCCCAGAAAGAAGAGCGTTACAATAATCAATACGTGAAGACACAAATGCATGGACAAGAACCTGTGCTGTGTCACTTGACAAAACTTATCTGATTCTGGCTATGTTCCTCAAATGATAAAAGGCTAAATTTTGTGGTCCAATGACCATCAGGTCATTGGACCACAAAATTTCATCTTGAAAATTGATGACAATGTCATAAATCGCAGGGACAAGGTAAAAAACTTGGGCGTGTGGTTCGACATGGTGCTCTCCTTCGAGTCTCATGTAAACTCTGTCTTATCAGTAGTTAGGAGCAAGAAATTATCCGATAATGAGCCCCTAATTGCAGATACACAAGATTCTAGTTTAGAGACTTCAGCACAATTTCCAATGGTTAGAGGAACATAAAGCTGCAGGTCATCAGCGTAACAATGAAAAGTTACATTAAAAGAACGTGAAAGAACACCAAGAGGCAGTGATATTATACTGTGATATGGATTTTAGGCCATTTCGCTCAGCCCTAACCTGCAGCATGTCCACCATCTTCTTGAGCTCAGCTGGCTTGATTCCTGAGGCATGCTGCATTGTGAAGCCTTTGAAGTTCTCAATCAGCACAAATCCATTGATCTGGGTCTCGTCATTCTCGAGCAGCTTCTCCAGGATCACGCAGTATGCCCTCAACACCTATTAAACGCAAAAGGACATATATTTCACAGAGTACACTTGGATGACTGAGCTGCAGCTGTGCAGGGCTGCTTTTCGGGTACCTCATCGAAGGTGATCTCCTCCAGGTCCCAGTTGTCGATGTTAAAGAGCAGGACCACGCGGCCATACTTGTCTCTGCTGGGCAGAACCACTGGGTATCCCGCTTCGACTGTGCTGCGGACTGCCTCGGGGGTCATGTTCTCAAAAAGCTCAGGATACTCCTTCCTGAAGCGTACGTAACCTGGAGAACCACAACCAACAGATCAGCTGCATTCTCATTAGTTATTATTAATCCCCATCTCCCTTTCACAGCGCGTCTATCCCGTTTTCCTCCCATCACCACCAGTCGGTCGTGGTAGATGGCTGCTCGTCCCTGTGCCTGGTTCTGGCGGAGGTTTTATCCTGTTAAAAGGGAGTTTTTCCTTCCCACTGTCACCAAGTGCTTGCTCAAAGGGGATTATTGGATTGTTGGGTTTGTAGGGTCTTTACCTTACAATATAAAGTGCCTTGAGTTGACTGTTGTTGTGATTTGGTGCTATATAAATAAAACTGAATTGAATTGAATTCTCTCACTGGATACTAATAACTCACAACCCCACAGTGTACACAGCACTGCATATTTCTGATGCACCCACACAATGATAGTCCTGTCTCAGTGGGGCTCCTGTCCATCTACAAGCAAGGCACCAATTAACCCACAGTAAATGTGTTTATGAGAGAGAGAGAGGGAGACAGAGAGATACAGACAGTCCATCTGGATGTGCATGGATTCCAGTCTCTCACGGAACAACTTTTCTATATTGATGAATGTGCAGGTGTGTATTTTCTGTTTTTGCGGGGATGGAGTATTCCAACAACAGCAGCACCAAGATTCAGAAATTCTGGTTCCAGAATTATGCCGATGGTTGAGTTAAGGTTACTAGGTTTAAGATCAGCTCAAGGTTTAATGGCATATTACATTATTATATTGTTGGAATAATAAATGGGCATCATTTTGACCCAATCTGGTTAGGAAACAGCATTGTGATCATTCGGAGGATTGAAAAAAAGATTCAGAGGTTTTTGTGTGTGCAGTGCAAGTCATAAGGTGTCCTCACTATTGTCGAAATGCTCTTTTTAATTTTAACCCGTTCCCAGAGCAGCAGAAGTTCCCAGTAGAACGTGGCAGACTCACAAGTGAAGCAAACCTGCCATCCCATTTGGACACACAAAGAACAGCTTTGTCAGCTCACTCAGAAGAATCTAAAAGCTCCCAATTAATGAACACATGCCCCCCTGCCTCAGCGATGGCCTGGGATTCATGCATACGAGGAGCACAAAAGAGGCCTCACCATCAATTACTGAAGCGCTTGGGTGCCAAAATGATGCAAGCAAAAACTCTCTTTTTTGTCTCTCTACTGTGTGCTTCTCATAAAGTTGTATTT